AATCTCCAATTTGATCCATATGACTATCCTAAGGTTTTTCGGTGTTCTAGATTCATTTTTAATGTTATTTTAACCTAAAGACATTTATTTTTATGATTTATCTCAAAATCAAAGTCAACGTACACCCGAAACACTAAGTTTCTAGTTTACCCATCCGAATCGGCTATTAATAAAGTTTGGCGTTGTTTACAAATAAAAAGTGATAAAGGGTGCTTCTTAAAGCCTTTTATACTTATTTGAAGCCTAAATGTACTCATTATTCTTATATTTTGATTTAGGAAGCAAATGGAGGCGTTAAATGCAAAACAAAGCTAATTGGACTGTTTTTGACGTCCCTTCGTTATCTAAGCATCACTCTCCCATCCGAGCTCCTATTGTGATGATTCAATATGATATGGAATTATAAGAAAGAGATCTAAAACTTTCATGTTTTGAGTTTTGAGAGATATAGACTGCAATCAAGGTCTAAATCGGGCTTGAAGTTGCAGCCAGTGCACTATTTAAGCTAATTGGGCTGTTTTGACATCACTTCGTTATCTTGGCATAACACTCTCATCTGAGCTCCGATTGATATGATTGAAGATGATATGGAATGCTACGAAAAAGCTCTACAACTTTTATGTTTTGAGTTTTGAGAGATATTGACTGCATCAAGGTCGAAATCGCGCTTGAAGTTACAGCCAGTGCACTGTTCATGTGCACTGTTCACGTCCTGTTTCATCCCTTTTCCATTTCCAAATCCATTCCTAAGCCAACCAAATCCATCCCAAACCTATTTAATACAAGTTTTTAGGACCTAAAAGTTCATATTTTCACTTATTAAAATCAAATTTCAACTATTATTTCTACTAACATTTTAAATCTATAGTAGATTAGAATATAGAGAGAGAGACGTGGTCACTCTATTTGCCCATCACCATGCCCACATCCTATCCACACCTATGGATAAAACACTCTCAGACACACATCTGTTTTCCAATAACCAAACTACAATTTCAAATATATATTTTTTGCTTTCTCCATAGAACATCTGCAAAGTGCCAAGCAAAAGCCCATGGCTCAAACAATGCTGCTCACTGCCAATGTTTCTGGAGCTGCACTTGATTTGAAGAGAGAGCCATTGCTTCAAAGATTAAAACCCAAACCATTCTCTCTCCTCTTACTTCCCCCTCTTCCCACTTCTTTTGGGTCAACTTCATCTTCAGCAACCAGAACTGTGGCTCTCTTCAAATCAAAACCCAAAGCCACTCCCAAGAAGCAGGTTTGCATTTGTTTGTTCTGAAATTGAAACAAATTCCTCAATATTTATTTATTTATTTTTTTTGTTTTTTTTTTTTGTTTTTTGGGCAATAGGCTGTTTCTAAGCCAAAGGTTGAAGACGGTATATTTGGCACCTCTGGAGGCATTGGTTTTACCAAGGAGAATGAGCTCTTTGTGGGTCGTGTGGCCATGCTTGGCTTTGCTGTGAGTAATTGTTCTTTTGGATTGATTCTTAGATTATACTTAGAGTTTGTTTTGTCTATAAGGCTGAATGAATTTATTTGTCAGTTTATTGCCACTGTTAAGTCCCTGATTAAAAAGAAAATAAGTTTTTTCGACTGATACATTGTCAAATTTAAGGTCTTAGCTTTGCAAACTCCAAGTTCTTGTATTTTATTCAGCTGAAAAAAGCCTAATGTCTTCTCCTTCTCAATTATGAAAAAGGTCATACCTAGTGAACATAACTCCCATTTACAGGAGTAAATATTCAATGTAACAGTAATA